CCCAATCTCATAGACTCGTCCTTCTTCTTAACAAAGATCACCGGGACTCTCCACGTAGACACACTCGGTCTAATAAAATTCTTACTGAACAAGTCTTCACTCTGCTTGTTTAATTCAAATAATTCTAAAGGTGACATTCGGTATGGAGCTAGAGACATAGGCCTCAATCCAGTCAACTAGTCAATTGAAAATTCAATTTCCCTCTCCGGCGAAAAATTCAGAATTTTATCCAGAAAGACATCCATAAAATCAAAGACAATAGGGATATCAGAAATTGGCTCCTTATTGACGCCAACCAGACCTCCCAACAGAATAGACTCTGAATCTCCTTCCTTCAAGGCATTTGTAACCCGAAGGACAGACATATCCGGAGACTCTCTCCCTTCATCGTTAGAGGAAATAGAAATGGTCTTTCTGTAACAATCAATCCTTACACAGTACTTAGATAACCAATCCATTCCCAAAATTACATTCACAGAGACAAAATGCAAGACAATAAAGTCAGCAAAATACTCCCTGTCATCATACTTAAACTTCACATACTTCCAAATGAATGATTCCTCACTAACATTCCCAACATCCGAAATAATACACATAGGGAATCTCATCTTTATCACAGTCAAATTGAATGCTCTATTATTAATTCAAGCTCTTTCTGCCTAGTTGCAGTCCAAGTCTGTTGTAGTGCAGCAAAAATTGCTACAACAAGATCCGATGATGGACCATCATTATTAAATGTCCTACGAGTCCTCCTTGGAAAAACCATATCTCTGCATATATTAAACTAAGGAATGAGTTAGCTACGCTCACACTTAGTGATCACACATGCATTATACAGCACTCCAAGAAAACACTCAAGAACTTCCAACATCATATGCTAAATATCATGGACACTCCCTAGAGCAACTGCTCTGATACCACTTGTAATGCTCGGCCGCTTCAAGAATCAATGACTATCCCCCACATACTAACACGAGACATTTCAGTGTCCTTTTTTCTCACTCGCATACTTCCTGGGAAAACTTCCCAGGAGGTCACCCATCCCAGAATTGCTCCAAGTCAAGCACGCTTAACTATGGAGTTCTTCCGTTCCGGACTACCGAAAAGAAGATGCATCTTGTTAGCATAGGTAGTACCAATTAATTCTTATAAGCTATCCCAAACTATGTAGTCTCACACCTGCACAGTCTTTGGAATCCCTCTCTTTCGGGTGTCGATTCGATTCATTCATGCATGTAACCCCCCGCTGGAAGTCTGTCATGAGCCGCTCCTTGTCCGTGCCTCTTTGCACTGGCGATCACTCCCTGCCCTCGTCAGCGCTCGAGATGTTACATGCCCACCAGCTTCCGCCTGGTTCGTCCTCAAACCACACCGTACTGGAAGAGAGGCCCTGCTCTGATACCATAAATATAACATCCCCTTCTCGAGCCGGTTTAATTAACATACCTATGATACAAACAGAAACAGCGGAAGACTTAACTTACGAAAATACGAGCTAACTTTTTTTTCTTTTTCATTAATCTTAATTCACATGACATATTACATTGCATACTTCTTCTAATTTAATTCTTATTGGGCAGAGACGAAAATCGGACAGAGTAACATCTGTAAATTGGACAACTGGGGATTTCCCAATCCCACTCTCAAATGTTCCTGATAAACAGTTTATACCATATATAATTTCAGAAATACCAGATATCTATAAAGGACTATCTACCCATCCATGAGTGCATGCATAACTGGCTCCGTGCCACTATGTCTAACCACATACATATTTCAGCACATGCACATATCTGAATACACAAATGTACATGTGTCAAATATGAACACATGTACAAAACATATACGGACCATATATTGTATAATGAATCAAACATTATGATCCCAAAATGAATAGAACACTATACAACAGTACATATTCTCCAAAAATAACAACTATAATAAATAGTAGCGTCCGGCCACCCAGAACTCCATATCCTCATACTAGTACCTCTAGCCATTGGTAATGTCCTTGTCCCATGAGGGCTCTTCAATTAACTGTTTTCCTGAAATCATATCCCAAAATGGGGTTAGAGACGAATCTCTAGTAAGCTCCAGGTTTATGGAAAACTCTCCATACCCTGGGCTCACTTCATGAATGACAATCAGATATATAATATACAAAACATCATGTAAGCAAATATCATAACTGAACAACCATATACACATATCTTATCAAAGATGCACACAGTATTTCCCAAGAGAGAACCCCAAGCGGAAATCAACGCACGTAACAAATATCATAACTAAACTGAGCATATATACATATCTTATCAGAGACGTACGCAGTCATTCCCAAGGGATGACCCCAAGCGGAAATAAACGTACGTGTTCCCAAGGGAGAACCCCAAGCGGAACCAGAACATATCAGAGGTGTACACCATCAGTCCCGAGGGATGACCCCAAGCAGGCATCAGTGCACATAGGATCAATGGCCAGAGATCATCACATAACAGAGGTGTACACAGTCAATCCCAAGGGAAGACCCAAAGCGGAAATCAGTGCACATCTTCCCAAAGGGAGGACCCCAAGCGGAACTCAACATATAAAAGATATATACACAGTCAGTCCCAAGGGAGGACGCCAAACGGACATCATTGCATAAACAAATCAATGTTCAGAAATCATTATAGAAATCATATCGAAACATATCAAAGTAAACATATCAAAAGATATCAAAGTAAACACATCAAAACATATCAAATTAAACACATCAAAACATATCAAATTTAACACATCAAAACATATCACATCACATCATCATATAGATCTATATGACTGCATCTATATCATATATTTCATACATATCATACAATCTGACCACAACCCGTACACTATGGCGGAGCACAGAGTATGAGCGAACCCCATAAACATAGAGCTTACCTCTTGGAGCTTTACAATTTGCTTACTTGAAGAACAAGCTAGTTATCTTGCTCCACGAGAATCCAAACGTTCACAATCCCTAGGCACACCTAGAGAAGGAATTCAACATAAAACTCAATAAAATGATATAATGCCATGTAAATATACAAGACACATACTTTATTGTTTATTTTCTTTTTACTTAATCATATTAAGTCATGAGTGGGTGGTTTTTTGTTCAAAAAATCCCCACCAAATTCCACATATTCACTTAGTCTTAGGATAGTCCGAAAAGACCTTTAGAACACTCATTACTCGTCTTAGCACCTAAAATCCTATTTTTCCCAATTTAAGGCAGAGTGCCCTTTACAAAGGAGTTATAAGATTTCTTTTTGTCTAGTCCTAAACCCAAGCTTAGCCACCTATATAAATTATTTTACGCATAAAAGTGTTCTCACTTGGCGAAACAGTAACTCCAAATGTATACCTCCTTTGAAAATGGCCAAAACTCATTTTAAGGCCATACAAAGGAGCTACCTTAGTTTCTTTTTTATTTCACCAACGCGAAAGTTCGTACACCTTAGAATATTATTCCACGCATAAAAATATGCTCTCTTTGCAAAACAATAACTCCTAGCACATACCTCCTCTGAAAATGGCTATAATCACATATAAGGCCTAAAGGAGGAACTTACTCATTTTTCTTTTTATCTAACCCAACCAAAGGTTTATACATCTAATTATATAGTCCTTAGGCCGTATAAGTACTCATTCGCACAAACAAGCACTCTAAAAACATACTTCATTTGTAAACGGCTAAGAGGCACATAAAGGAAATCATGCCAATTTCATGATTCCAATGTTTTAGTCCATCAAATTCAAGCTTATCATACAACCATAATCATCATTAGGTAATAAAATCCATTTTACACATTAATTCATCCATTTATGTCTCAAAACATAAGACACCACTAAGCGTCATTCAATTAATTCACTTAATTCACAACGTGTCCAATTATTTTTGAACATTAAACCCTGATTTTTACACCATGGCTGAACCTAGTGGGAGGAGGTGCAAGGGATATTTTCAAAATTTCAACACATATTCATACTCATTTCACACTATAACATCATAAACCATACTAACTCGTCATCAATTCAAATTCCAAGCTACAAAATTTTCCATAACATATGCTCATAATATTCAAAACTTAAATCATATAAATAAAACCATTAAAATGAGGATTTCTTACCTCAAATCGTTTATCCAAGGTCTAAGGAACAAAACCCAAGCAAAGCTCACTCAAAATCCACACTTTTGCACTTGGATGAATAGTGCCACGAATTTGAGAGAAGGAAGAACTCTTCACACAAGCCTTTTCAGCCTAAACAAAGTAGTTGGATGGATTCCCCATGATCTCTACTTAAACTTTCATGTATGGCACTTTGTGTTTTGGTGGCTAGATGAGTGAGAAAGAGAGGAGAGAGACAAAACCCTAACCTTTTTCTCAACTATTGAAACCACGGGAGAGAGAGAGAGAATAAGAAAGACAGAGCGGGCGGGAGGAAGAAGAAATAAAGGAGTTGTAAAGTTAAGTTACTTTAACTGGGTAATAACTTATCTATCTACACACCTCCATTCAATACCAAACTTTACCGAATGAACTAGAATATTTTTCTAGTCATATTTCTAATTTTACTTTCACTTTTCGGGTAACTTTGCTTACCTGCATCTTTACCCCTTAACTGTCATTTTAACTCTTTTTTCACCAAAGGTGGCTTTATTTCTTTTATTTCTAATTATTCTTCAATATTAAATCCATAACTACTAGTGAGGGTTATTATAGAATTTCTTAGCACAGGTAGGCTGGGCCTGTTGCATTGTCCACTCTTTAAGCCCAAAGGGCTCTTGTGTGAGGGGACGTGTTGAGATATATAGTCTCACATTGGTTATATGAGCAACTAATGTGGCCCTTATAAGACCTTGGGCACTCCCACCCTTAGAGCTAGCTTTTGGAGTGGTGTATCCCAAGATTCTTTACAAATGACATAAAACATAAGACCAAGGAAATATTTTTATGCAAAAATGGAGTCCCTACCATGTAACCTTTCAGATTTATAGCATTTTCTTTAGTAGCAAAGTTGTACTTCACAATAACTTGGCTATGTTGAGGAACATAATGCCCTGAAACACGGGATTAATGATTCACCAATACATTTACAACATCATAAAATCTATATAAAATAAATAAAACAGAACCAAAGAAATCAAACACCTAATATGTGTTCTCATCTCACCATTTTTATTTTCTTTTCTTGTTTTTAGTGTCGAAGTATGAAAGCTATTTCAGGTGAAGACATAACCGCTACTATCAGACCATGACTTTAAAATAAACAGTCATAAAATTTAATGCATAAAGATAGAATATCATTTATTTTCTGAGTCATCCACAAAATTGGGAAAAGACAGAAAGTACAAGTGATAATGTGCAGTATTGTTTACCTGCATAGCCCTCACCACTGATAAAAAAATCCCTTCCTTTATAATGTGGAAAACGTTCAAACCACTTCAGTAGAAATGTCAAAGAGTCCTCAGGTGCACATAAAGTCTCATTAATTTAATCATATATGTATATATTTCAAGGGGTCAACTTCAATCCTCCCTCCAGAGAAAGGAGTAACATGCTAGTTGTTTTTAAAATTCCCCATTTTACATCAAATGTTACAAATTGAGTTATATAACTTTTATCATTCAATATGTCATTTAAAAATAAAGTAAAAAATACAGTACTCCCTTTTTTGAGAGAGAGAGAGTACCAGAGTAAAACCCAATATTTCAAAACAAAAGGGATACTAAATGATAAAAGTATAACCTGTCCTCTTATCACCATTGTTCTGAATGTCAGATGAAGTATTTGAATACGAAAATCCAACTCCAACAAGAGAGTCAAGAAAAAGAATGTTGGCAACTACAAAATGCACAAATGGTTAGACATAATTGCATCTTTGCACTTATGAAGCTTATTTATTTATGTTCTTAGATTCTCTGGAAGAGTCTGAGCTTGAGTGTGCAACCAGTGGTGAATTTGGCTGTTACTTTGCTTATCAACATAAGGATGCTACTATGAGTATCAATGTTTTTGTAGAATATAAGGATCAGTGTTAAATGGGGGGGTGAATCTCATGAGGAAGAATGGGAGAAAAATGGGGGAGTGTAGTGAGTGTGTCTGATGTCAAAGGTTCAACCCTTTGCATGCGTGTGTAAGGTGCCTTATATAGTAGTGTAGGAATGGAGTGTGTGGTGAGTCCAGGTTAAGGAGGCCATACCGAGACTGGGAGTGTCGTGTTTGATACTAGGATCATCATTTTAAGTGATGTGATGCATTTAATGTGTAAACAGGGTTGTGGTTACTGTTTGTGTTATGCTAATAAATGAGGTATGGAGCTATGTGAGTTCTAGGGACAGGTCCATAACAATTTACTTATTTCTGCTCCTAAAAACCCGTACATGGTAAGCAGAAGCAAGATTTCTATTACAGTTATTTCAATATAAAGAACAACTTCTTGGCAATTTCTATTTAAGGATATATTATACAAAGAAACTTAAGTTAATATAAGCACTAGACAGAATTAAAGAAACTGAAAACAATATGTGCAAGAAGCATAGTTACACACTTGTCACTATCAAATAAGCATTAAAAGCTCTAGAGGAAAACAATATCTGCAGTAGGCATAGGTATACACTTGTCCATATGAAATAAGCATTGAAAACTCTAAAGGAAAACAAAGGAGTGCAGGAAATTCAAGTGTAAATGGAGGTGTAGGTGAAGAAGTCCCGCATTGGCAAAGATGGAATAAAGTGAGTACCATACAAGTAAAAAAGACTTACATAGACCCAATGCTTAAGCCCTTAAGGTTTTAGGCATAAATGTGTATTTAATTATTTTTATTTTTTTGGCAAGCACATTTTATATATCTCAAAGACTGCCCTAAACAAAAAAAAGAGGTTTATAGATTGTATTGTCACTCACCTTGATTCCAAGAATAAGGATTCAGGTAAAGGGTCTTGCCATCTGACTTTATATGAAAAGGACCAATTTCCTCTGCTTCCCCATAAGCAATGGATGAACATCCAGGCCCTGTAGAGAACCCCCCAAGAATGTTTCATTTCAATCCTAATAATAACACATACTAACACATAGTGATTACAACATATTACAGGACCAACAAGTTACATCCTTTTCTGCATGTCACTACTATTTATATTCTACAACACAACAATAATCACAATAAGGAAAAGTGGAAATATGAGAAAGATTAAGAAACCATCATAGTGAAAAGCCAATGACAAACCACCAAAATAAAAATAAAAAAATAAATGGAACTAAAAGGAAATAATGAAAAAAGTTTTTTAACCTCCATTGAGCCATAAAACAAGGGGTTTGGAGTGAGGGTCTTCTTGAGCCTCAATGAACCAATAGAACAGTGACCTCCCAGCTTGGTCATTAACAGTGACATAACCAGAATAGTGTTCAAAGTTGATGTTAAAGGTTTGACTTGGGAGCCAACCAACCCTGTCCAGGCGTTGTTGAAGAAATGGGTCAGTTGAATATGTTGAGCATACCATAAGACTGACCCATGTGTAAGGTGTGTAAAATAATCAAAAAATTGAATCGAACCATGAACCGTCCTTACAATAACCAAGTTTTAAAAACCAGTTCATGAACCGAACTGGTTTGTCAAGAACCAGTTCATGAATCGAATCGGTTTTTAGAACCAATTTAAGAACTGAACCATTTTGAACCGAACCAAATTGATTTTTATAACTTTATTTTTTAAATTTTAATTTTTTTTTCTTTTCAAAATAGGATTGACCCGAACCGGTTTCCAACCAAACCGAACCACTTCTAAACCGAATCGAATCATTTTTTTTATCGAACCATATAAACTAATTCGGTTCGGTTTTTCAAAAAATTCAATTCGGTTCGACCCACATCCCTACCCATGTGATGCCTATTGCTAAAGTTTGAAACCACCAAGAGTGTGCCATTTTACTGGACACTGAATCTCTGTGACTCTATCTGACTTTTTGGTTGGAGATACGAGACCTCATTCCATTACATTACATGTGCTTTATAGAAACTATTAAAGTCGTTATTTAATTTAAGCCAACATTATAATTTTAATTTTGAGGCTTATGCCATTCAGTGCGCTAACGACAACAATAAGATAAGTATTGATGAAATAAGATTATTTGTTTTTCCTTTTTTATTGGTAATATGTAATCTTATTTTATATTTATAATGAGGTTTGTGATTTTTCATGATCTTGTATGGAGGCATGTTTCTCTTAATGTAAATATTTATCTACCAAAAAAAATAAATTTTGATGAAATAAGTAATTTCTTGTATTGTATAAGATAATATCATCTAATATTCGGTAATGTACTGTATAATACTATATAGAATAAAAATATCCTTTAATAAAAAATTTATATATTTCTTCAAAAAATGTCATATGATATTAATTTTTATAAAAATTATTGATCAGTGTGTCCAAAACATAAATTAATTTTTATAAAAATATAAATATTCAATATTTTAAAAATTAATATACTGAAAAATTATTTTTATTTTAATATATTAATATTAAAATAATATATTAATTTTTGAGAATTGCACCGGTCAACGATGTTAATACACTAACCTTTTATCAGGCCTTATCCCTCCCCCTTAGGCCGAATTAAGTTATACATCAAAATGATTTATTAAGGGCCTGTTTGGTGTGACGTATAAGGCATGATAGTATAAGCTTATACTATACGTTATGACATTTTCAGTTGTTTGGTGTGACCATTGTATAGTCTAAGCTTATACAGCATAATTCCTTAATACATCAAAACGATGTATAACTTAATCCAGCCTAAGGGTGAGGGATAAGGCCTGATAAGAGATTGATGTATTAACATTGTTGACCAATATAATTCTCAAAAATTAATATATTATTTTAATATTAATCTATTAAAATAAATTAATTTTTCAATATATTAATTTTTAAAATATTGAATATTTTATTTTTATAAAAATTAATTTATATTTTGGACACACTGATCAATAAATCTTTGGGAAAAGTTCACCAATGCCTCTGTGATTTGCTTCAGAATCACATATGCCCCTGTGGTTTTTTCTATCACATATGCCCATGTGGTTTGCAAAAGGGTATTTTTTTATCACATATGCCCCTGTGGTTTTTTATTTTTTACAAAGCACAGGGACATATGTGATAAAAAAAAAAACCACAGGAGCATAGGTGATTCTGAAGAAAATCACAGGGATATTTGTGAACTTTTCCCTAAATTTTTATAAAAGTTAATATCATATGACATTTTTTGAAGAATTATATAAATTCTTTATTAAAGGATATTTTTATTAAAAATATTTATTTTTATCATATATAGTATTATACAGTGCATTACCAAATACTAAATGATATTATCTTATATAATATATTATTTTATACAATACCGTGCCAAACGCTGGATAGTATTAAAATTCAATCAGGTCCTATACAATCAAGCCTTATACTATCAGGCCTTATCCTATATTATGTACCAAACATGCCCTAAGGGATTCTGCTGTATAAGCTTATACTATACGATAGTCACACCAAACAATTGGAAATGTCATAACGTATAGTATAAGCTTATACTATCATGCCTTATACGTCACACCAAACATACAAAAATACCTGCTCTTATTCTCGAGTATATCTTTAGGGGGTGTTTGGTATATGAGATAATTTTTTTGACCAGGTAAATATAATTAGTGGGGAAATAGTTGGAAAATTAAATTAGTGAGAAAATTTAAAAAAAGTTGTTTGGTAGACCGGAATATTACTAGGAAAATTAACAGAAGTTTACTAAGATTATGTTTGGTTGAAAGTAAAATATTGATGGGAAAATATGTCAAAAATTCGAAAATAACCCTTACAAATTTCGAATATGAATTGAAATAGACCCGTGAAAATATCGTTGGACACATGTGCAACCAAAGTTCGTCTTCCGTTCTCCATTCTCTATTTCTCTGTGTCGTTGGACACATGTGCAACCAACGTTCGTCTTTCATTCTCCATTTCTCTGTTTCTCTGTGTCGCTCCTTTAGAAGTCCATATTGCATCACTCTGACAAAGTCAGGCAGTGGTCTAAACTTGAAATCAGCACCGACATACAAGCTTGGACATCAGGATCGAGTTGCAAGCTGCCATCAAAAGTGAGTAACGGATGTTATCCTAACATGTACAGAGGCAACTTCTTGTTCGCTGTGAGGTTTTCATTCGTCGTTGCTTTTTGTGTTGGTTATCTTTTTCACGGTTGGGGGTGGGAAAAATGATTTGGTTTTTTTTCTTCTGGTAAATATGTTTGAAATGGTTGAAACCCTGAAGTTTTAATAAAAATAAAAATCGGAACCTTTTCGTAGGTTTTTTTCCCCTCAGAATGAAAAAAAATGAAGTGCTGCTACCATATGGGTATTGGCTACAACGATGCAAATGGGAATGTACCCTTGGGTATGAAAATGCAGCCTGGAGATCTGAACCACCTTCAGTCATGAGGACATTATGGTACTCCTCGGGGAAATGGTGCCCATGCTCGACAAGGTGGTTATGGTGTTGGTTATGGCAGTGCTCAAGCCGTACAAGCAAAACACCAATAATTTTGACAATTGTAACTTTTATTGGTTCTTCAGCTTCAACTTGTGGATGCAAGTATTTAAATATGTGCTCAATGATCCTCTAATCTGCGTAACAAGGGGTGTGAAGTTTGATGTCAATATACAAAAGGACTGGTTTGGTTGCAGTATGCCCCTTAGTCTAGAATATATGTATATGTGAATAGATACTATGCTAGTTTGTATTTACACTCTTTCTGCATGTAGCTTGTAATTTGTGTGCTTGTCATCGTGGTATTTTTGGAGTTGTTGGTTCTTTGTTGCATTTCAGATATAGTTCCTTTTTTATATGTGGTTAGATTAAGTTAATTATCTTTATGTGTAACAAGGTTGTGTACAAAAAAATAAGACCTATAATTGTAGGAAGCATTGGTGGATGTGGATGTCGATTATATAAGTTCATTTTTTAGTTATAGCTTTTTATGCAATTGTATAAAGTGAAAGTTTACTATTGTCCGACTCTTCATATGTCTCAGTAATCCACACGCCAGTAATAGTGCCAGGAGTTGTGCAAATGATAAGACCCTTAATTGAAGGAAGAATGGGTGGATGTGGGTTAGGAGTAGGTGGGTTGAAAAGCATAATTTCCAAGCATTCATCATCGTGGTCCCCATCAAGGGTGAAGGTATGCTACTATGGAGTGCCGACTGTGTTGCGAATGTCACAGATGGCAAGGGATCCAGGAAGGCAGTTTTTTGGGTGTGCTAATTTCAGAACCAAGCAGGAGTGCCATTTCTTTGAATGGTTTGAAGAACCAACATGTCGTAATTGTGTTAAGAATGAGAAATTGTTGAAATTATTAGTGGTTTTGGTTATTGTAATTGTTATAACATTTGGGATAATCATGAGGGAAATGTTTAAGTATCTTTGACTTGTATTTTGATGGTAAGCAAGCTATTACGCATTACGAAGTTGTAAGTCCATATTGTGGACATATAAATTTGTTAAAGTGTGGAGGTGTAAAACTTTGTTCTATAATATTTAGACTTGTATTTATGTACTATGTGTTAAATTCTATGGTGATATGGTACACCTCTCCGTAACGCCCCGTCTGCAGCCGGTTAATTAACATTCATATGATAGTAAGCGCAGCATGCTCAACTTAATTAATACGGAAGCTAACTGAATAAATTTTCTCTTTTTCCTTATGTATTGCAAACTTTTTCACTTCCATAACCAAAATAAAACGGACAGCATTTCGTCTGTATTTTGGACAACTGGGGACATTTTCCACCATGATAATTTTAACCTGATTAACAGTTTAATATAATCCAGACATAGACCATATTACCCAGCCATCCATGTCATAGGCTATCCATACATAAAAGGTCTCAAAATAATATCCATATAGTTACTTATATGATTACATCAACCAACCAAAAGAGATGTAATCAAATAAGTAACCTAGACATATACAGACATAACTAACAAAATAGATAAACTATCAACATGGCATAGACATCTCCTATGCTCTCAAAATAATGACATGGCATATAGATACATATCAAAAATAAAACCATGCCAATTACGTATCAGCATAACAAGCTAATCCTGACTATCAGGTCAGGTAATATCTCTCGTCTGGCTTCTTGCCACGCTATGTCTCAGCACCATCAGCTCCTGTACTTGAAATGCTAATCCCCATAACGCGGGGTGAGATAATATAATTACCTCAGTAAGCTAGGGACCCTTGGAGGGCTCCTCCACCCCTAAGCTCACTTCTGGTATACACACAGTATAAAAATTCATGCATGCATCAGAATATGTATGACAATACAGTGTGCAATAATGTAATCCTACTGGCCAGAGAATATAACAAGTATGCATTACGCAAGGAAACACCGTCTTGCAACATACCGTATGAGGAAACATCGTCTCATACTACGCATAAGGAAACACCATCTTATGCCTCACACAAGGAAACACCATCTTGTGTGGCACACAAACATACATACATATACATGCAACATATAACAATTTATTTTCAACATACCATATCAAACTATCTCCCTCCCTCGGAGTCTGGTAGAACAAACAGAGGATTAACCTTAAGGACCGAAAGCTTACCTGGAATAGCTCTTTTTCTAGCCTCTTCCAAGTCAAAGGTCCATAGCCAAAAAAATGCTCAACAAATGACCAACACACCTATCCATGGTGAATTTATCACAATTAAACATATATATATTTCATGTCAGTTTCATATCAAATCACTGTTTGATACTTACCTCAGTCTCAAGTATTCAAGAGCCTTGCTCAATGTCCATGCTCTTGCTTCACAAGTCCACTTGGTCTCACACTATAACCAATGAACACATTTACATTGTTATCCATCATCAATTCATTTATACGGTACTGTTCATCTCTACAGTACTATCCACGTATACGACATTATTCATATATACAACACTATTCAAAAATACGGTATCTTTAATTTTTTCGAATATATTTTCACCGTTAAATCCCCATTTAAACATTTTTCTCAACATGAGCTAAGCCTCAATCAAGTTCTAACATGCTCATTCAAGCCAAATTTTCAAAATGAAAACCAAAATTAAATCTTCATAAAAACATGCAAAGGAAAGGAATTTCTTACCACAATGCACTCTAGAACAAAGGAGAGATGAGTTTCTAAACTCCCATGGTTTCAAGCTCCATCAAAACCCCCATTTTCCATGAAATTTGAAATCTTAGAGGAATAAAATCTCTCTCTACAGTGAACCCCACATGAAAATATGGGTACCAATGTGTTCCTCTCGAAATTCTTCACAAGTTTGGCTTTGGAGGTCTCTAGCTCAAGTTATGAATTTTGGAAGATTTTAAATCAAAATCTCCTTTCTTTCAATTTTGTTCTCTGTTGACAAAATAAAGGTGGAAGACAAGGGAATAGTAAGGCTTTTGAACATTTAAGTGAGCTCACTAACCAAGTGGGTATAAACTTCTCTATTCCGTTCACTTAACTCTCTTTCAAACTTGACATATTGGTTCACAATGTTTTTATGGTAATATTTACCATTTTAATTTTCACTTTCAGATACCTTTGTCCACCCATATTTTTACCCCTTAACTGTCATTTTAACTCATTTTTCACCAAAGGTGATTTTAATGAGTACAATGACTTGAAGCAAGAGTCGATGTCAATTGACCAATATTTTGCCAAGTTCAATGAATTGGTGAAGTATGCTAATTATGGGAGAACCTTACCTACTCCGGCTGAGATGACCTCCAAGTTTCAATGGGGTCTAAATGAGAAAATGTCTCGAAAGATATCTAATTGTGATATCCGTGAGTTTAGCAAGTTTGTGAACCAATGCTGGAAAGTAGAAGAAGTTTATAGTGTGACTAATGCCAAGAAGTCTTCTGACACACAAGCGTCAGGTGCTAGTAGAGCAACTGGCTCTACTTCAGAAAAGAATAAGAAAATGGATGACAAGAATGGAAAGAAGAAATTACAAGCGAAGCAATCCGATGATAAGTTTAAGAGAAAAGGCAACCAAAGAGAGACGGTTGTGAGAGAATTTCCCTTGTCTAAAAGTGACACCTGCGGGAAGACACATAGAGGCACATATTGGTACGAAACAAAGTCGTGCTTCAAATGTGGCCAACTGGGTCACTTTTCTAATGTATGTCCAACTAGGAATGATCGAATTTCAAATGTATATGCAATTGGGGGATCTCAAGCAGGAGGTCAAGATTATACCTTAGAGCTGCATGATGGCAAGGAAACTCTCAGGAAAGTTGAAGGTATGATTTGAAAATCTCTTTAGAGTAAATTGTTCACCAAGTATGGCGATGATAGACATGTTGTTGCATAAGTTTAAATGCATGCATGTAAGAGAGGTGTTATTGATGATGTATGCAATGTCTGTAAGAGTGAACATTGTGTTGAATTGACAGATTTGACGTTAGTCTGATCAAGTGGAGCATAGGCTCTATAACCACAAGAATTAAATTTAGCAAAAGAATTAATAAAATGAAAAGCTAGAGTTGTGGATCAAACGGTGAACCTCTAGGTTTAGCTCATGGCTAGAAACTATTAGGAGGTGAAGGTATAACAAAGAAAAGTAATGTGATAACATGCATAGTTATGCCTGATTGTATGTTAATGTATTGAGGCAATGAATAAAATACTATTGCATGATGATGTGAAACTAATTATTCATGTGAACTTATGTTGCATGAATTTGTATCTACGATGGATGCGAAGTACTAGTGAAGAAATTCTCTAAACAGGAGAATAAGTTGTTACAGGGCTTTCTTAATGGAATAATTCCTAAGAGTAGTGACTCTTGGAAGCACCCGGATTAATTTTTTTTTAAAAAGGAATGATTCCCTAAGAGTAACTCATGAAGTGAGAGGGAAGATGATATGGTTAGTGAAAGGGCTTGTAATACACCAGAAAAATAATAGTAATTTATAATAATAATAAATTAATAATAATAATAATAAACTATAAATTAGTAGTAATAATATATATATATATATATTATGGTGATAGATAACAAAGTATCATATTAATTTTACCTTTGATAAAATTATTTTGTGCGATATGAGTGCTATTGAAAATTTATTTTGTTACTTTGTAATACTTCAAATTATTAATAATAAAATAATATATATATATATATTAGATGATAAATTTATTTTACCTTTTTCAGTTTTTCTGATGTCTTCGACTCCTTTTTGCTCATCGTCTCGTCTCCTCCTTCTCTGTGTTTCGTCTCCTCCTTCTCCTTCTCCTTCTCTGTGTTTACACGTTTCGGTTTCATCCCAAACAAATTTTTTTTCTGACCCGGCGAGTCACCGGTTATAGTAAAACTGGCTGGTTCACTCCGATTCGCACCGGGTCACGCCGAGTCAGTTACATCTCCGATCTGTTACTCTACCCGGACTGGTCACATGACCGGTTTACCGGTTTTCGGTTCGAACCGGCCGACCCGGTCTGGTTTTTGTAACACTGATAAATAAAGGCCTAGCTTAACCAAACCAATTCACTCTTCAACATTTCTCCTCTACTACTCTCTCTCTTCTCACTCCAAAAAGTTTATTTTAATTATTTTCAATTTTTATATTTTTCTGATTATCAACTGGTTCTCTGCCCCAAATTATTCCCTTTAGAAGTTAGCGAAAACGGAGACCAGGTAATCCTAATCCGTAGGTATTTTTAGATTATATTTTATGTGAAATTTGGTATACGTATTGCTCTAGGTGAATGTAAGACAATTTTATATTAAATTTGTTAAATGTAATCTTAATCCTTAGGAAATTTTAGGATGTTTTCATATATTATATATAACCCTTAGGGTATTTAAATTAAATTATTTTAATCTCTAGAAATTAATTGGATTAATTATTGGATTTTGGCTTTACTCTAATAGATGTGAATATTTGAATTATGATATGATGATTGGATTTGGATTTTACTCTTTGAATTCTGATTTCGAAAATTATGATATAATGATTGGATTTGGGTTTTACTCTGTTATATGTTGAATATGAAAATTATGATATTATTGGATAATGGATTTGAAAATTATGATGGATTTGAAAATTATGATATTCTTGGATAATGGATTTGAAAATTATGATGGATTTGAAAATTATGATATTCTTGAAAAATTGAATTTGGAAATTATACTCTTGATTAAATTGATGTGGAAATCATGAAAACTATTTGAAAAATATGAGAATCGTGACAAGATTGAATTAATTGTGTGTGATTGTAATAAATTAATAGTGGGGGGGGATAGCTTTGAGGTGGTACCTCCCAAAGTGATGAACACAACTTTGGGGCTTTATGCCTCCGATGTTAAACTGATGTGAAAAAGATTGTATTCGTTCTTCCCAAAGTGGTGTCTGGCAGGGTTTCCCAGGATACTAGTAGCAACTTTGGGAAGATGTGTGCACCCTAGGAAGATGTGAATTGATTATGGCCAATGTGATTTGTTTGTGACTGGCAGGATTTCCCGGGTCACAAAGTAGACTGGCAGGGTTTTCTGGGTCTACCATGGTTCTCTTCCCACTTAAATAATTTAATAATGATAACTGATAAGTCAAAATAGTTTGATTTAAATATTTTTATTTGTTGAAATATTAGATTATTATTTGAATTAAATTTCCATTTGATTTTATTCTATTTTATCTTATTTCCTTATATTTTATTTTATAATTGTATTTGAATTTATTTATTTTGATTAGGATTACCGGCTTTGCTGACCGTTTGTGTTTGTTTGACTGCAATGATTCTTTCAGGGGGAGCAGACTTTCAGTAAAACAAGTTCTAAAGAATCGGGTTAGCAGTGGGCAGTGAGGATGATAAAGCAGGCTTTTCTGGCTAGCTCTAGGATTTAAAGATGTGTTTTTATGAGCTTTTAAATTTTAATTATTTCTTGACTTTAGTTTTAGTTTTGTTTTAATGTAACAAAGTCTAGCCTTGCGTTTGACAATAGTACAAGTGCAGCGGTAACACTTCCCAAATTTGATTATTTTGAACTTCCGCTGTTATTTATAAAATTATTGAATTTATTTATGCTATTATAAATTGTTAGAATTTCGGGTGTTACAGGGCTAATGTACCATTGAATGATAAATCATCAGTGAAAGGACTGGTGTGTAATGTCAGTGAAAGGACTGGTATGTGAAATCAATGAAAGGACTAAGGACTGGTGTCCAGTGTCAGTGAAAGGACTGATATATAAAATCAGTGAAAGGACTGGTGTGCGTGCCAGTGAAAGGATTGGTGCATGATATTAGTGAAAGGACTAATATCTAAGTAAAAGTTTAGGTAATGATTGTATTATCAGTGGAAGGACTGATAGGGTCATCGGTGAAAGGACTGATGGTCCATCACGGATGTAGTTGGTATTATCAGTGGAAGGAGTGATGCACTGATGTTTCAGTGGAATGGTATCATCAGCGAGAAAACTGATGTACAATTAAATAGGAAAGGGTATTATCAGTGAGAAGACTGATGTACTAAAGCACATGTAGACAGTAATATTAGAAAAATGACTAATATTAGATTGAGAACTTAGAAAGGGTTCAAAGTCGTAGTGAAGGGCTAATTCATGAAATGGAAAATTTTGTGAGATTGATTGTAAACACCTTTGTAATGGTTGAACATGAGAAAACTGAAAGGAAAAAAACTTGGAGTCGATAGACAGGTGAGATAAGATGTGAGGGGTTATTGAGAAAAAATTGTGTAAAGGATTGCGTGTCTAGCGAAAGGGTTAGCACACAATTTGGGAATTGGTGACAATTTTACGATCGTCTTAAAGATGAGGAATTTGAAAATAACATCATTATAACTAAATAAGTGTTGATGATGTAAGACCATGATAGTTCGTGGTTCAGTACCAGATAGAAGGATAGAGATCTTGATAGGGTTAAAATAAATAGGCTTGAGGAGATCGAGTATTACCTATAAGCTAAAAGGCTTACACCTTGTGGCAAGGTGTGTATTAGTGTAAAGATAAAACCATTTCAATGGTCAAGGTGCAATAGGAAGGTAAAACGCCTAAAAAAAGCCGCTTAGGAGCGGGAGGACGAGTTTCTCCGACTGTGTCTTGAATGCAGGGACATGTACATTCCTGATTTTGCAGACAAAATCTCTAAAAAGTAGGGTGAATATAATATCCCTAATCCAATTATTTAATAAATTGCATGTGATTAAATAATTAATCATGCATTATTGGGTTAAGTTAGGTAAAATACCTGATTAAAAGGATTAAGGCCCATTTTGAGTCAAAAAAAGTGCAGTTAGTAAGAATTAAGGAGTAAAAATGGGTATAGGCAAAAGTACCCAAAATATAAAGGTAAAAGTAAAAATATCCCTAGAAAAATATTTCGGACCTTTGGGTAAAGTTTGGAAGTGAATGGAGTTGACTAGATAGATAAACTTTTACCCAGTTAAAATGACCGTACTAAGTTAAGTAGCAAAACATGAAAAAAGACCCCCCAATTTCCCTTCTTCTTCGTCGACCAAATCTAAGAGGGAGGAGGAGAGAACAAATTTTGAAGCTCAAACCCTAGCTTCTCTAATTCTTAACCAAATCCATTTGTTCCAAAGCCAAAAACGTAGAGAATCTTCTCCTCATTTCAAATCCTAGCTTAGTTGTGAGTGGGAAGCATTGTGGAGTGAGATAACTCCCTCCAAAGATTTCGACCCACTTGGTGATTTGAGAAGTTTGATGGCATTTTCTTCCATGGGAGCTTAGGATAACATCATTCCTTGGTTGGGTGATGCTTTGGGTAAGTTTTCACTCCTCAAACCTTATTTCCATGGAGGTTGCATGAGGTTGAAGATGATGAATAGTAATTTTGTGGGCTTTATAAGTTTGAGTAAGATTGAGGCTAAATTCCTTTGGAAATGTTGTTAGGAATGATAAATAAATGGTAGAAATGAGTTTAGATTGTCATGTTAGTATACTTTGATATTTGAAGAAATCTATGCTTGAAATTAAGGATTTTCTTGCATTGAAAACGATGGTTTGGTTGGATGATTGATTTGTCCATGTGATTGCTAGGATTGAGACAAGTGGACTATCCTTGAGTGACCAACCATTGGAGGGAACCATGGAGCTTGAGTAGCTCATTTGGATTGGTAAGTTCATGCCTTAATTGTGGTGTGAATTTGATTGTACAGTTTTTGAATATGTTGTATGTATGTTAAATTGATGGATTTCACACTCTTGAATAGGGTGTATTGGTGATTGAGAGAAATTACCAAGTATCATACCAAGAAAGGTTGGTGTGCATAAATGAGCTAGAGGAAAGCTTGATTGTGGAACTTGGTGAAGGACAAAGGTAGATTGGAAACAACAAAGGTAAACCTTTGGATCTTGGAGGTTAATCCCTCTTGTTGTTCCACCATTGCTTTTATGGAAGTAATGGTTAATGAATGGATGATTGAGTGGTAATGTTAGTATTATGGTATGTTTGCATTCATATAGTATTGTTGTGTCATTGGAGAAAGGGCCAATGGACAAGCACTAGGGGCTAGGTTGTATGCTTAGTGGAAAGGACTAAGATGCAACTGAAGCGTGTATGATGATTTGATTGTTTAATTCGGTGGCCATTTGAATGCATGAGTATGTTGCGATTAAATTATTACTGTTATTGCCTCTGGATATATGATGTAGTTCATGCCATGTGGATACTAACCCTTCATGTAGGAAGTGAACTCTGGGGTTGGAGGAGCTCTCTAAGAACTCTGGGTTTATTGAGTTTTATCTCACCCCGTTTGGGGAATGCTATTTCAGGTGCTAGCATGGATGATGCGGGACGAGGGAAAAGGCCTGAGTAGATGTTACATGATAACTTGTCATTTTGGGATTGTATATCATCTAGGATTGTTAGACGTATATGTCATTTCCCTCATCATATGTTTGTTTATTTTGAGGTCATATGATGTAATTTTGGAGGACTTAGTGCATGATCGTTGTAGTAGTAATTGGCATGTTGTGTATGTCTAATTGCCTTGATCATGTTTATTTTGGTAGCTAAGTCTTTTGGCATGTATATGAGATTTGGAGAACATTGATGTAATTGAACTTCAATACATTGATGAATATGAAGTTATGTTTATTGTTTTGATTTGTATGATGAATTGGTAAAGTGTTTATGGGATGTAGGTGCCATATGGTGTGTGACCATGGTTGGCCTTTCCTTGTCAATTAGGTGTTATGACCTTTGAAGAATGAAAGGGGAATGAGATTTCCCCAAGAAAATCACCAAAAACAGGGGAGACTAAGTCTGCCCCAGGTGTTGGGCGCTCAAGCGCTGATTTGGGCGCTCAAACGCGCTATATGCGTGAAATAAAATGAAATTGACTGCCTCTTGGCGCTCAAGCTCTGATTTGGGCGCTCAAGCACTGAATTGGGCGCTCAAGCGTGCTAGTGCGCACCCAAGCGAATCCCGTTGAAAAACCTGACGATGGCAAAATTGGCTGTCTTTGGGCGCTCGAGCGCCCAGTTGAGCGCTCGGGCGCGCATCCCGAAAACTACATGGCCATAGTTTAGTAAAATGGTCATAACTTGAGCTACAGACCTCCGATTTGAGCGCGGTTTGAACCCACGCGAAGTTATCGGAAAGATCTATAACATAATGGGAGATGAGAACTATGAAGAAAGTATAGAATTTCCAATTTACTAAAAAGAGCAGATAGTTTAGTATTGACCTTAAGCAAAATAAGAGTATGATGTTAAGCTTAAGTTTCATTTATTCCGCAACATCATTCAGTTATAGTCACGGGATTAGTTATTTGAAATTCGGGTTATTCAAAAAGGAAAATAAGTAAGTTTATAAAGAAAAAGAAAATTCTATCCAAATTTTTAATTGAACCAATGTGATTGTAACTGTGCTTAATATCATAAAGCAATGATAACAAACCGGTTCTAGAACGGAGTGTTACAGCTTTCCCGGAACCACTGATGAAAAGTTTGAGTTATCATGTTGTTGGGCAGAGCCTTCAATCTTATGTGCCTCATTTTCTATCTTCTTCACAAGGCATTATACCTACACAGAGCTGGAACAACTACATGGTTAGTTCTGGCAGTTGAGCCTCCTGTGGATATATGCATTTGCTGTATTCTTTGGTCTTTATTTTTTCCTTCTTCCCAGTAGTTATCCTGTCATGCCATATGATGCTGACCAGTACTATTTCTCAGCATGAATGATTGCAAGGGCTATACGAGTGGGTTAATTGTTAGTAAAAATAAAATGAAGTGGAGTGCAGTATTGTATACTTTCTTGTGCCTTCTTTCCAAACCATACATGCAAGTTTTGGATTGGTGCATGCAGCATTAGCCAGTAGCTATTTACTTGGAAGTACATTGAATTTTGCTGTCCTATATAGCTAGCTAAGTAAATGCATAAAGATTAGTAAATATTGTTACCATCTTTCACTACCAGATGTCTTAGATACTGCAGGCAACTTTAATAAAGGACGTGATTTGTGTATAACAATATTGTTTTCCTTAGTCCTTCAGCTCCCCATGTATTTTATTTTATTAATTGCCAAGTACATTTGTTGTTCCTGAGATGAAAGAATTGAAGCCAGGTTCATCTATGATCCAGTTGACAAAGCTATAGGTGAGAGTTGTGCAGAAACAGAGTCTGAGCCACGTGATGATAATTCAAATGAAGATGATATGGGTAATGACCTGTCACCTGAAGAGATGAAAGTGGCTGAAATAGCAGTTGTGGTCGTGTATGATACGCTATCAGTCATAAAAGAACTCGTTCGCTCCATCACATGCATGCTTAGGCTGGAAAAACCAAATGACAACAACAGTTTTGTAAATTCGCTAGAGAAATTGTTGCAGCTGTGTCAAGAGATTGGTCCACAGATTGATAAGATTGTACATCTAGTGCTGCTGATATAGAAGCCAAAGTGGAAAATATTACATTAGCCAATAAGTAGACTCTTATATGTGTACTTTTTTTATGTGCAATGAGGTTTATGTGTAGAATTTTATCTGAGAAATCTATGGAATGTGCAAGTTAGGTCAAACATGCAAATTTTATCATCCAGTTTTGGCTATCCCTCAGAACAATGGCCTGACCTCGCCTACTCTATCTGTTGTTGATACATCTCTCATTGGTAATCCAAGAGTGTTGTCAACTATCCATCCATCCGAGACATCTCCATCTAAATTATAAGGTGAAAAGCTGCAGCACTGTGATACAAAAGCTACAAAAGCTGCTACTGAAGAGTCATCCAAAGAAGTTGATACCACATCAAATACCTTATCAGCCTCCTCAGAGTCTTTACATGACTAAACTTGTAATGCCTGGCCGCTTCAAGAATCAATGACTATCCCCACATACTAACACGAGACTTTTCAGTGTGTTTTTTCCTCACTCGCACACTTTCCCGGAAAACTTCCCAGGAGGTCACCCATCCCAGAATTGCTCCAAGTCAAGCACGCTTAACTATGGAGTTCTTCCGTTCTGGGCTACCGAAAAGTAGATTCATCTTGTTAGTATAGGTAGTACCAATTAATTCTTATAAGCTATCTCAAACTGTGCAGTCTCACATCTACACAGTCTTTGGAATCTCTCTCTTTCGGGTGTGGATTCAATTCATGCATGCATGTAATCCCCCGCTGGAAGCCTGTCAGGAGCCGCTCCTTATCCATGCCCTTTCGCACCGACGATCACTCCCCGCCTTCGTCAGCGCCTGGGATGTTACAAAACTAATTGGAGTATGATTTTTGTATGGGATATTGTTTTCCCACTGATTGGAGTATGATCTTTGACCTTCGATCTTTTTTATTTTTTCCTTTTTCTCTGTCTTAGGACGAGTTTGGTACACACTTTAAAAATGCAAGTAATACAGTTCATATAAAGTACCCCCCACCCCCAAATTTTTAAGGGGGTGTCAAACTCTCTATGGTGATCTTTTTTTCTTGAAACAAAACTTAATATAGTGATCTTAAATACTTTCATTTTGTGATGATGTCCACTTGAAATTATAAGAACTGACAGGATTCTTAAATCTTGATTTCTCTTGTTTAAGAAGTTTTGGCCAGTTGAGCCTAAAGAGAGCTATTTTGAAGGGAATGGTGGCTACGTGGAGTTTGTAATGCCAAATGATGTCAGGTAGTTTGCAACAGGGTTCACTAACAAAAATTTGGAGAGAGAAGAACTTAAAAAAATAATTATATGATGATGTCTTACATCTGCTACAGAAATCAAATTTACAATCACAATGGTTGTATTAGTCATGAATCAAACACCTGTGATTTGAATCCTCATAACAATTAGCAATCTATAAATTTCTATAGTTCCAAATCTACTTATACCTCTTGTACATACAATATAACTGTACAAGCCTTGCATTAGAAAAACAACTCATATAAACCACATGTTATCCTAGATAGCAGCCACACATGAATAGGCATCATGAGAAAGGTGATTCCTTAATAGCAACCATTATCCATCTCAGACTAATGAAATCAAAGACAGCATCCTTATGAATCAAACCATGGTCACTCATCATTTCCTTCTATTGTATTTGTTTCACCAGTTGAGCCTATACCCACTTTAGATATGGTAGAGTCATGTTCCTTATCAAAGATGGATGTTCAATGACAAATGCTTTGCACTCATCTTGATCGATACTATAAACTCCTTCTTTATCAGCATCACCAAAAACTCTACGGAAGAAGCTATTATCAGTACCAGAAATAAGGGACACTATTTTCAATGGAGTTCTGAAAGCAACACTATAAAATTTTGTGAACCTTATCCACAATGGTTTCAACAATATCATCTGCAAGTACCAGAAATGACTCGTGCAAAGGTGCAACTACTATCTCCTTCAACTGCATATAAACCATTAGTGTAAAGCAAGGAAAGTAAGACTTATATAAAAAAAATATAATGATCGAGCATATACACGCGTAAGAAAGGAAGAACCAAAAACCCATATTAATAGCTAAAGATATTCATGTGAGCTTATTTTAAATGTAGAAACAAGAACAGATTAACATTTAAATAACTAATACATATATTTCTCACAGATAGACTGCATAATAATTCAGTCTCCAAGAACCTGAACGAGATTAAGCAATTCTAAATTACCAAAAAAGGTCAGATTAACACACCCTGTCTGCGAACAGATTACTCATGTTCTTGTTCCTGAAGAGTGCCACATGAAATTCTTCCTGCATGTACATATGATGATGTAAAAGGTTAATTATCTATTAGAGATTGCTGAATCAAACTGATAGTAATCTGAAACGACACCTCACCTCCCTGATAGACCATCTTTAATAACTGAATTGCTCAACTTGATATACAGCTCATATAAGGCCTCTACCTCACTCAGTGTAACAGTAAAGAAGTACAAGTTATAAACTGAAACACATAAACCAACTATGTCAAATCATATTAAATCATATAAAAAATATGTCATGTAAAAAAGGAAATTAGGAATAGCTTACCTTAACCCTCCTTACAGACTAATGTAAAGACTACAATATATTAACTGAAACACATAAACCAACCATGTCAATTCACAATAATAAATCATGTCATTTCACAATAAGCTATCACATAACATTGATGATAAGAAGATATTAACATTGATTGGCAGCCATATGGCAGATAACACAACAATTTACATACGAAAAAGGAACCAGCCACACATGAATAGGCATATACGCTCCACATTAGCAGCCAACCCGAGTTCTAATATTTAACACCATGGTGGTTACAATTCCCAAAAAGTTACCACCCATGACACACAAAGTAGGATACAAACAATATAGCTATCTATCCAGAGCACAACCAAAATGAGTGATTTGTGTCAATCACTGATGATTAGCCAACAACCCAGCCACCAAGCATTTTCTGGCCGTTTTATTGCATTGCATGAAGACATCGGTCAGGTTGCTATCTGATGAGACTGGATCAGAGAATTTAAGAAATTAAAGAGACAAACACCTTTTTAGGCCCAGATAACTGGATTTTCTGTATTAATATGAAAAAGGAAATACAATACTACAGTCTCAGCTATTACAGTAAAGAAATGCACAAAGATAAATGACTACTACTATGATCAGAATGACCAACTACCCTACACACAGAGATACAAGTTCAGTACAATTGAAGCGGTACTAATTCTCTCCCAATCCCAAGTCCTAGTCCTTTTCTGCCCCATGCCCACACTCCTCACCATCATTTATTCCCTCTAACTGACTAGCCACGTCAGCCAATCCTCCTTCTCTCTTCTAACAACCTATTCTTCTAGAATATCCTGATTAACAGAATTATCATTCTCCAATAATCCCCTGTATCGCCTCCTAGCATACACCTTCGTAGGAATCCTATCAATACTCCTCCCCATGACTCTCACCTTGTCCTCAAGGTGGAAAGCAGGAAACTGAGAGTAGATAACAGCTGAATCTTCCCAGGAATTTTCAAAGTCTGGAAGGTTCTTCCACTTGATAAGGACTTCAGTAGCACCTAAGGAATTCTTACGCCACTGGAGAACAGCTTCCGTCTCAACAAACAGCTCCCATTCTTCTGTTAATAAAGAAGGTAGCTGTTGGACATTTGCAGTAGGAGAGACAACTTTTTTCAAAAGAGACACATGAAAAACATTATGAACACGGCTATCAGAGGGGAGATCTAAACGATAAGCTGCACTTCTAATTCTCGACAACACCTGATAAGGCCCATAAAAACGAGGACTGAGTTTCTCGTTAATCTTCTTGGCAAGGGAGCAAAGACTATATGGCTGTAATTTCAAGTATACTATATCCCCAACCTCAAATTCCACATCCCTTCATTTTTGATCAGCCTGTGATTTCATACGGTTTTGTGCTACCAAAAGTTGATGCTGCAGTTCCTGTAAAATTACATCACGATCTTGTAATAACCGAATAATGTCATCCATTGGAGAAACAGCGAAACCAGAACGGAGCAAGATTGGGGGGTCACACCCATATAATGCATGAAAGGGAGTGGTGCCAGTGGAGCTTTTGTAAGAGGTGTTATACCAAAACTCAGCCCAATGCAACCACGAAGGTCAAGTTTTAGGCTTTGGGCTACAAAAATAGTGAAGATAATTCTCCAAACAGCGGTTGACAACCTCCGTTTGACCGTTGGACTGTGGATGATAAGCCGTGCTATATCTCAACTTAGTACCAGAGCATCGAAAAAGTTCAGACCAAAATGAGCTAAGAAAAACTCTATCTCGATCACTAACAATGGAAGAAGGAAAACTGTGTAAACGAACAACCTCCTTAATAAAAAGTAAAGCTACCTCATTTGCTGTGAATGGATGTGCCAGAGCAATGAAGTGTGCATACTTGGACAGCCTATCTACCACCACAAATATAGTGTCCACCCTATGAGCCTTAGGAAGCCCTCCCACAAAGTCCATAGAAATGTCAGTCCAGACTTAAGAGGGAATTGGTAGGGGTTGTAGAAGACCAGCCGGAGATAGATTTTGAGCTTTACTTTGCTGACACACGGAACAAGTTGCCACATATTGTTGAATTTGTTTGCGCATGCCTTCCTTCCCAATACATGACACCGACTATCCTTTTAAACTTTCGCAAGGAACCGGAATGACCCGCAATACATGAATCATGAAATTCAGTGAGCACCAAGGGAATGAACTATGAATGTTTAGCCAAAACCATCTTGCCTTTGTAAAAAAGACGCCTCCCTTGCAAACTGAATTCTGAATGAGATAATGGATCCACAATCAAATCTTGTATAATGCGCTGCATCTGCTTATCTTGATGTAATTCTGCTTCAACCTCTTCAAACCTGTTAGAATCCACACAAGACAAAGAGAAAAATTGCAGATTTCTAGACAAAGCATCAGCCACTACATTTTCTTTACCCGGCTGATAGTGAATTTCAAAATCATAGCCCAGAAGCTTTGAGATCCATTTTTGTTGTTCCTCCCCCAATATGGTTTGGTCTGTGAGAAACTTGAGACTTTTTTGATCGGTTTTAATTAAAAAATGATTGCCCAGAAGATAGGGACGCCATTTCTGAACTGCATATACAATCGCCATGAGTTCTTTCTCGTAAATTGATTTTTTTTGTGCTCTTGGAGAAAAATCTTAGCTAAGATAACTAATTGGTCTGCCTCATGCATAAGAACAACACCAATTCCACGCCCATAAGCATCAGTAACCACTACAAATTGTTTAGAGAAATTTGGGAGTGTCAAAACCGGAACAGAACACAGCCATTTTAAGTTGATCAAAGGCCTTCTGAGCTTCTGAATTCCACTTAAAGTTGTCTTTCTTCAAAAGATCAGTTAAGGGTTTGGCTATTTTTCCATAGCCTTGCACAAACTTCCTATAGTAAACGGTGAGACCCAGAAAACCCCTTAGACTTTTAACATCCTTTGGTTCAGGCCACTTTGACATAGCTGCAATTTTCTTTGGGTCAGCTCTCACACCATCAGAGGCAATAATATGACCAAGATACTCAATCTGTCTATAATAGCCCTAGCCTACTTAATTAGTAAATTACATGTGATTAAATAATTCAACGTGCATCAGTGAGTAAAATTAAGTATAGGGTCTAATTAAGTGAGTTGGGGTCACTTTTGAGGTAAAAAGTGTACTCAGTAAAAATTAAGGGGTATAAATGGGTGTAGGCAAAAGTATCCAAAATATAAAAATGGAAGTGGAAATATTCCTAGAAAAATATTCCAGACCTTTGGGTAAAATTTCGTGGTGAATGGAGTTGAATAGATAGATGAACTAATACCCACATAAAGCCACTTAACATAAGTTAAGTGACTCAAAGCAAAAGAAACCCATTTATTTCCCCCCAATGTCCGTCGAGCAAACAAGAAGAAAAAAGAGAGGAGAGCAAACCTTGATGCCCCAAACCCTTGATCCTCCAATCCTTAACCTATTTGAGTGATTCAAAAGCCTAAACCACTTAGAATCATCCTCTCATCCTTAATCCAAGCTTGGTTTGTTGTGGGGAGCTTTGTGGTGTGGGATTTTTCTTCCCAAAGATTCATCCCTTTGAAGGTTGAAGGGGGTTTGGGAGTATTTCACTTCTTGGAATCTTTAGAAACCATCACTCCTTGATTGTGCATCCATTTGTGGTAAGATTCTACTCCTTGAACTATATTTTCATGGAGAATGTATGATTGGGGAAGATGATGAATAGTGTTTAGGGTTTTATGATAATGTGAGTAGATTGGCTATGTTCTAGGAGGATTGAGACTTAGTGTATGTTGTGAAAAATGCTAGGAATGACATTTAATCGGTGAAAATAAGCTTAGATAGTCAATTGATTATACTTTGAAAATTGTAAGATTATATACTTGATTTTGGACTTTCTTGCATTATTAATCAATGGTTTGGTTTGGTTGGATATTGATTGTGTCCATGTTATGTCTAGGATTGAGGCAATTGGACCAACCTTGAGTGACCAACCATTGGAGGAAGTTATGGAACTTGATTAGCTCATTGGAATAGGTAAGCTCATGCTAATTGATGGTGTAGAGTTGTTGTTGTGTTGATGAATATATAAATATTCATTTGCTTGTATGATTGATTGTCTGACACCTTGGTGTAGCTGAGTTTTGCAAATTGTAGCTTGAATTCGAAGTTGACTGATTGTAGAACTTATTGGTGAAGAACAAAGGTAGAACTGAAGCTTTGAGGTAAGCCTTCGGACCTTGGGTGTAAATCCCTTTATTGTTCCACCAGGCCCTGAATGGGTAGTGGTTGTTGATAGTATATGTAAATGCAATAAGTAGTTTAATGCTTTGTTATACGTATGTGTATGCTATGGGTGTGGCATAGGATGGTGTTTCTCTATGTTGGTATGTTGCATGACGATGCGTAAATCATACTTGGTAGATTCTCTGATCAGTAGGACTATTTGCATCTGAGTATCCTCAGGACAGCAAGAGCTCGAGGGATGTCTCCTGGAGATGTTTTTACACACTGCATGGATATGTATTTACTGTATTATTTACTGTTATTGCTATTATACTGTGATGTGAACTATGGGGTGGAGAGATGCTCCAAGGACCCCTGGTTTGCTGTGATATATTCGTATATCTCACCCCGTGTTGTGGGGACCCTCTTTCAGGTGCAGATGCTACAGGAGCCTCTAGTGACAAGTGGTCGTATTTGGATTAGATGGTCATATGCTGATAGCCTGTCATTTTGGATTGCATCTTATCTAGGATAGTAGATGTATATGTCATTTACATTGTCACATGTATATGTATATTTTGAGAACACATGATGTATTTTGGGGGACTTAGTGCATGATCATTGAAGTGGTGAATGCCTTGTTGTAAATGGCTTATAGCTTTGATCATGTTCTTTTTGTAGCTAAGTCCTTTGGCATGTATATGAAATTTGTAAGAACAACGATGTAATTGAGACCTTGATGAATTGATGAATGTGTAGATATGTTTATCATTTTGATTAGTATGATGAATTGGTAAAGTGTTTATGGAATGGAGGTGCCATATGGGGTGTGACCATGATTGGCCTTTTATTGACAATTAGGTGTTATGACCCTTGAAGAATGAAAGGGGAAGGAAGTTTTCCCAAGAAATTCACCAAAAAAACAGGGGAGACCAAGTCTGCCCCAGGTGTAGGGCGCTCAAGCGCTGGTTTGGGCGCTCAAGCGCGCTATATGCGAGAAAATGAGTGAAAGTCTTGGCGCTCAAGCGCTGGTTTGGGCGCTCAAGTGCGTTATATGCGTGAAAATGAGTGAAAGTCCCTGCCTTTTGGCGCTCAAGCGCTGGTTTGGGCGCTCAAGCGCGCTATATGCGTGAAAATGAGTGAAAGTCCCTGCCTCAAGTCCCTGCCTTTTGGGTGCTCAAGTGCTGATTTCGGGCGCTCAAGCGCGAAGACACCTGCCCAAGCGCTCGGAAAGACCTGATGATGACCAAAATTCTTCGTCGTGGGCGCGCGAGCGCCCATTTGAGCGCTCGGGCGCGCATCCCGAGACAATACCAACCTAGTTTCTAAAATAGTCATAACTTGAGCTACAGATATCCGATTTGAGCGCGGTTTGAACCCACGCGAAGCTATCTTAGAGATATATAACATAGTATGAGATGAGAACCATGAAGTAAGTACAGAAATTCCAATTTAATAAAAAGTGAAGAGAGTTTAGTATTGAACTCGAACAAAATAATGATATGAT